TGTTTGTGTTATATAAATTATAAACAAGCCTTCTTATTAGAGAAAATCAATGTTATGTCATACTTTATTAAGTGTGATATAACATTGATGATCAGTGTTTAAGTATTCTTATAGTATGTTTGTTAGTCCAAACTGCTTTCAGAGTTAACAAAACTGTCTACAATGTCAGTGTCTATTGTATATTTTAATAACTGTATACCTTTTTAACCTCAATTTTTTTAAACTACAAATCTTTTGATAAGTAATGTACATTTATGTTTATACGCGTGAATAATGATTCTATTAACATTATACGTTTTGTTTCTTATATTTCATTTATGATATGATAAGGCGTATACCATCTAGTGTAATAATATTCAGTCGATTATTATCCATTATTATATCTACCTTAAGGGCGTGTACCCACTTATGGTTGACAAAGTTCGGTAGGGGGCTTCCTTTCTGTTAGAACAGGGGCTCCCAAACTTATTTTGAGACTACACTTTGAGAATTAATTATTTTTAGCACCCCCATTTTTTCATCTACTTAAAAACCACTATAGCGAGAGCTGAGTCGGCGTCTAAGAGTCCTAGATGCAAATAAAAATCACCTCCCAAGCTTCTACGCAACACCCCCATTTTTTCTGGGTCTCTTACCGCCCCCGTTTAGGCCTGCAGCGCCCACAAGGGGGCGTTATGGCCCACTTTGGGAAAGGCTGTGTTAGAGAGTATATAATAAATACAACAAAAATCTAGAGTTAAGTGCATATACCCGTGATTTATAAGGGTGTCGTCCTCGTCGAACTCGTCGTCGACGACCAAGAGTTCGATGAGCGAAAATACACACAGCCCACCGAGTTTTTCGCCGGATCTTCTCAATGGGTCGCGATTCCGATCCGCTGGTTGATTCTGCGAAGCACTGCTCTTGCAAGGGCTAGTGTTAGCAAACTCTCTCAGGTTGAGTCCATGAGCTCAGTTACCCGTCCGCGTGTAGCTGGGATACCCACTAGCACCACAGGCTACCAGCGTAGTACCAGGTAGGGGAAAAAAATTACGGTAATAAGTTCCGAACTCACGCTTATTCTCGCAATACTATCAAAATATTTGTCATCACGGATTGTTAGGCAAGCGACACGTTTTTGTAGTAATCTAATAAACTTATAATATTCGTAAATTGACCGAGAAATTGTTTGTTAATATTGTTCTGTATGCTGCAGTAAAATATGCTTTGTCCAATACAGGGTAGGTCCAAAATAACACTATCATTAATTTGGCTCACCGTTACGATCATCGATTGTGATTGTGGACAACAGAATGCTGTGGTCATTTGTAAGTATATATTTGTTATTATACGTAAAGCCTCATTACTCTGCTGTAGATATTTCAAACATGCAAACTCATGGTTAATAAATACGATTTTTAGGCTCTAGTGTGTACTATATATCAAGAATAATTTATATTGGCATTACATTGGTATGCAATAATAACAACTTTCATTTTCGGTCCTGTATTAAGGAGAGAACTAGGATTAAAAATGTAGGTTCTGCCCGAGATCCGAAAAGCTCGTTGGGCTTTTTCTCTGAAAGGCTTTCGTAATATACCGCCAATATTTATCAAATAGGCCTATCTATACAAAATTTCTCTGCCCAGTATCTAACATGTAATGATCTACCGCATTGCTATCCTACTGAATTGTGATATTGGTTGATTTACTCACCAATTAGGACAAGCTTCTTTAAATAAACAAGCTTTTAATGACGAACATAAATTACAAGACTTATTAGTCTTAACTGAATTAAGTATAAAAAGAATCGAATTATGAATAAAAGTAATTACGTAACGCGTATTGTTAACGGATATCTTTTGCATTTATTTATTTGTCAACTTTTCCATATATTAACATATTAATCGATAGTTTTACTACTCGTCCATTTTTATTAGTGTTTGATCGGTATTATTTATTTATTTAAAATAATTCGTTAGTTTAAATATAAAAAGGGACTCGTCAATTAGTAATGAATTAATTTCGGTTGTTTCATGATGTAATTATAAAATTGTATTAGTTAAAATGTAAATGTTAGAATATTATTCTGAGTATTCTTAATATTAAGTCACTCAAAAAATCGCATTACTTGATAATTGATTTTTTGCATTAACAAAATTAAAAATTTGCTGGAAAATGAGGATTTTATAAGGAGTTTTATTAAATTCAAGACAAAATATATTCTGAACAATGACTTTATGTACGCCGTACCATCTTTATACCACCACTGGCTTTGCGGGAAACTAATAGAATCCACACTTCCAATACCAATTTAAAAGCGTTTAACATTTATATATCACTAGCTGATCCGGCCGATGTCCTTTTCAAATTATTTTTTCTTTAAGATCCTCATTTGGTCATACGAAGATTTTATGACAAAAAATTGTCAGTCAATAGGGCCGAGGTGTTCGCTATCTATGCGATTACTAACGAGATGTTAGTTTTATTTTATTTACATAGATTACTTGTAATATTTAGAGTTCGTATTGGTATGTTTGTACGTGTAATGTTAGAAATGTTACAACAGCAGAGTTGTAAATTACAAATACAGAACAACTAATAAATTTCGTAAAACTTTAAAGTATAGATTCCGTGTTTCTACGTAAACAAGGCTTGACCAAAAAACGTAATGCAGAAAGAACGCTTTGTTTAATCGACCAAAATTTTATTAAAATTAGGACATATTATAGTCTAATTTTAAGATGGCTATTATCTGTTATATAAATGCGCTAAAACTAAACGATTTTAGCTGTAGTTCCAACTAATCGATTCTATTAATCGAATATTGTAACTTAGAGTTACCAAAAACAGATCGCAACATCGTTAAAGATTTCAAAATTGATTTAGCATCGTTTCTTGGTAATGAAACAAGTAGTGCGTGACAGATGTATGGTCATCTCGCATTTTGAGAAACAATCTAATTATTAGAAAGGGACGTAAGATTTGGAACGATTTATCAGCGAAGGCGAAATGTTTCGAAATATCGACCGATGCGAGATGTATGTAACGTGGATGTTACAACTAATTTAAAACAGTTAATTCCACAATCGGTTATCTGTTTTATTTTCCGTTCTCTTTTGTTTATTTGTAGTAATTATTTTTTATTTGACTCTCTTTCAAATTGTCTTAACGTTACGAAGTCGTTTTGGTCAATGCTTATTATAAATATTCCAAATTAACTTATAAATATACCGAAATATTCTTTAAATAAACGACTACATAACCTACTGGTAGTATAGGCATTTATAGAAATTCGTAAATGACTAGACAATGTCTTCTAGTAATTATACAAAATACGACCTTTTCAGTTATTCCATAATACTTGCGGTCACACATTCAACAGATGTCAGTTGGTCAGACACAGATCTTAAAGGAGCGATTTCTGTCGGCCCTTAACATATAGGTTTTGCTGTGGCCTCAATTATCTCCTTTTTGTTTTTTATATCTATCAATTTTGATTAACAACTTTTATAGGTACATTGTCAGTTTACGATCGCAGGTTTTATGTCAAAACAAAACGTTACGCATTGTAGACTATACGTTACTTTGATTTGTGAACGTGTATAGTGTACAAATTTAGAGTTATTTTCATACTGTTATCCAACATCTTCGGTGTTGTTTGCAAATTGAATTTTCAAAATTTCTATTTAATAAACACATCCATTATTTTAATATATTTAGATTCAGATTTCTAGAAGCGGAAACAAAACGTTTGTCAGTCAAGATGGTGGAAAAAACAAAACGGATTTATGTTCTCAAATTGCGCTATACTCTCGACTCATTCAACAAAAACGGTCATGATTAGGAATAAATCATAGGTGAATTCAAATATTCATTACTCAAAATTTGTAGTTCGTTATAGCACTACCTATGTTAATTATAAAACGTTTGCCACAGAAAAAAAAAACAATTCAGTGTTATCGAAATCTGTGGATTTTAATTAAACTCTAAAATATATTTTTGTAAAATAACCACACGAACTGGCTTACGATTATTGTAGTATATATATTATAGGCAGCGCAGGACCGGTCTTTGTGGCGAAGCTTGGGGGAGGCATATGTCCAGCAGTGGACGTCTGTGGGCTGATAATAATACTAAAAGAACGAATGCCTTAGCTAAATTTTAACGAAATACCTGAATAAAATCTCGCGCGTCCAATCATCGCCGGAATAGAATCTAAATAGAGCGAAATGACAACACCATTCAAACATGAAGAATTGCCATTTCGTGTTTATCCAGAAATTAATGAAGGGAAGACCCGATTAACATAGAATTAGTTTACAACAAGAATTTCAAGACCACATTGTGCTTTCAGCATGTGGTACTATAACATTGGTATCTAAGAGGATAGTCTGGGTACTGTAACACGACGAAAAAATCCATTAATCTATTGATTTGCATATTTAACCTAATACGTTGTTCGTTTAGATGTAAGCCAACCAACTGAGTTTCTCGCTGGATCTTCTCAGTGGGTCGCGATTCCGATCTGGTCGTAGAATCAGCTAAGCACTGCTCTTGCTTGGGTCTCTTCTTTCCCTTAGCGATTCTCTCAGGTTGAGCCCGTGAGCTCACCTACTGGTCCGTGAGAAGTTGGAATAGCCCCTTAGGCTACCAACGATTAGCTAGGGTAAAAGATTAATAGAAAGTTTAAAGAAATCACTCCGTTTCTTAGTACATGTCTATTCCCATGAAATAACGCGACAAAACAAACTCGTCTAAAGATCCAATACGAATATTTTCAGAACACAGTTTGAGAAACAAGTTTACGATGTGTTAGAATAATAACAAGTATGTCATCTAAATAAACCTGCTAACGGACTTTCAACTCTTATTTTGTACCGAGGTAGAGTAGGTACTGTTATAGCAATCATAACTGTATCTTACGCACCAAAATATACTTTAACATAATAACGAAGATGATAAGAGATTTAACAGAATTATCTGCTTTAAATTCGCAATTTGCTTCTTTACTTCGGACTTCAACAATTCTAAGACAAACGACGAATTTTAAATCTCGTTAATTCCTTTTACTCTTTGATCGAAAGTTTAAATAAAAATTCACACTCAATAGACCATATCCTAGAGCTCAATTATGTCTACGACCTCGTTGAATGAAACCTGACAGTGAGTCAAGGGAGGCCTGATCTGGCCCTAACTCAGGGCTTGGGTCACGCGCGGCCGAGCATCGCAGCCACGTCGCCGGCAGACTGAGAGTGCAGTAGCGCCCCGCGTGTTGGCCGCGGCGGGGCGAGACGTGGTAACGCGAGGACTCCCGAGGGTGTACTTCCCAGAGGACAGCCGGTCACGAACTCGTGGCGGGACGCCTCCGTTGGTGTTATACGACGCTTCGGATCCCATCTGCGGACAAAATAATTTATTAATATTTTATAGGTTTTTATTTATTTATTTATTTATTGCTTAGATGGGTGGACGAGCTCACAGCCCACCTGGTGTTAAGTGGTAACTGGAGCCCATAAACATCTACAACGTACATGCGCCACCCATCTTGAGATATAAGTTCCAAGATCTCAAGTATAGTTACAACGGCTGCCCCACCCTACAAACCGAAACGCATTACTGCTTCACGGCAGAAATAGGCAGGGCGGTGGTACCTACCCGCGCGGACTCACAAGAGGTCCTACCACCAGTTGGTGTTTCCGCCATACAAGCAATAAGCCGTGCTCGCCCGCTTCGCTGGGCATTTAAAATTAACATTATTTATTGTCATTATTATTAGGGAGTCCAACGCTCATATAAATATTAGCCTATCCATTAAGTACATGTATGCTTTACATGGATACCAAGTTTCAAGTCAATCGGATGCATGGTTCAGTAGTTATAACGGACCATCCGAAAAAACCACTGTAGATTTATATATTAGTATAGATTTTTTTACTGGTGGTAAGATGTCTTTTGAGTTCGCACTGCTAGGTAGCTTATTTCGGCCGTAAAGCAGTAGTGCGTTTCGGTTTGAAGGGTGGGGTAGCCGTTGTAACTATACTGAGACCTTAGAACTCATATCTCAAGGTGGATGGTGGCATTTACGTTGTAGATGTCTATGGACTCCATTAACCATTTAACACCAGATAAGGCTGTGAGCTCGTCCACCCATGTAAGCAATAAAAAAAAAGTTTTCTTTATAAGATCAAGAGAGGAATTATTCGAATACATTTGAGATTCCTGTTTAAGACCATAAAAATTCCACAATACTGCTCACAATACAGTCTACAGTCTTCGACTTTACACCTCAAGGAAATCTACGGCACTGATGCTGTCAATAAGCTTCGATAACTGTGCCGGAGCGTTGGAATTCAGCACGACTTAGTTAAGGATTCTATTGAACAAAATAACTCAACGTGTTACTAAAAGCATACTAAACTAAAAAGTTCCCTTAGGATAATTCACGAATGACAACAATCAGCCTATGATCTTCATGTAAAGAATAAAATTCAACTCGTTTCTTTCATATTCATTCAATCTTTGAACTGAACTATCAGCTCCAATAAATGAACCATATCTCGAATTACACACACACGAATTACAAAAAAGTCCAGATAAACGTCGAACAATCATTACAATGTAATGTAACACAAACCTAGATAGGTTTTTGAAATTATCGTTTTGCGAATTCATGATTATGTGAATAAACGAAGTGAACGATCCAAGTGAACGGGCTTAGGTTGGCATAGCGGAAGGCGATAATCTGGTTTGGTAATACTCGCTCACTAACCGCGCCCGATGAGAGGTCGATATTGTACGTGGTACACTTTCACGGATTGCGGGCCGTATTGTGACCCTTTAGGGCTCGGTGTAGCTTTACCTATTACTGGCGTGAAGCAGTCTCATAGGTCAGGTGTTTTTCGATACGGGTGGCGCCGCGAGTCTGGTTGTATTTGTGGCGGTAGTCATCAGAGAACACAAGATATTTAACAGATGCCTGATTCTTGCTTACGACATTTTTAACTTAAGCTTGCATATATTATACAAGTTCTGAACAACAACATTTGTTGTTGGTCTACCTAGCAATAGCACCCGTTCGGTGGGAGATCTTCCTTCCGTCTTTATACTCCACATAGTATTGACCGCGGGAACCCCCCTACTCTGAGCGGGTTCTGACCCCGGGTGGAGATCGGATCGATTATCCCGCATGCCTCCTAGGACACTTTGTAGGAGGTTCGGTCCTTGCCCGAGAAAAAAAGTGTTTTTCGATACAACTTCACTCGGATTGGGCTTTATGTCTCTAGGTGCATGATGATATTCGCGTTGTCATCTACATCGTGTACGATCAGTTCTTCTGCCAATTAATTAAAATCAAAAGAACAGAAGATACATTTGACGCGGAGAACATTAAACAATAGATTCTTCTTCTTCTTTTACAACCTTATCCCACTAGGTGGAGACGGCACAACGTATTTTTCTATTCCATTCATTCTCTTTTATCAGCCGTCATCTCAACATTCACTCCTCTCTCACTCATATTCCATTCACACATTCCATCCATGTCTTCTTCGGTCGACCTCTTGCCCCTCTACAGAACATTAAAAAATGATTGTAAGTTGTATTTGTAAATAAATTTACTCGTTTGAAAGTAAACACTAATCTGGGGTCTAGCATCGATTTATTGAAAGGAAAACTAGTTCTAAGATTTAGTAATGTGTACGGAGTACCTAACTGTGGGTTTCGATAGGTCAAACTGAAAGGAGGTATTCACGATACGTATTATAACTTAGCTAGTATTATAAGGTTTATTCCGTATCTAGAATATATGTGAACTGGGGTCTTGGTTTCGAAAAAAAAACGGTAGATTTGAATCAATTGTATTAGCTTTTTAGCACGCTTTTATTAGTTTGATCTGTATCTATCGATGTAACAGAATTTACCAACATAATTATCGCCAAGTTCAAGACGTCTGATTAACTTGAATATTTATTTATTTACTAATAAAACTTCACGTACATTGGCGGACATTGTCCAAGGAATTATGTACCAGTCAACCAAAGATGATCCAGAAAAGAACATAGTAAGTGCATTGGTTGATAAATTAAAAGAAAAATATATGTTATACACTATGTATACTTATAAATTCTGATATGTGATTATATATTCTGATGTATGATGATAAGATATCTCTTATCTTTACACATTATACTTGATACAGTATCCTGTATCAAGTTTTGGGCCCATGAAATGCGTTCCACATTTACGTATACATTAGAACCATAATTAATCAAATGTCAATTTGCGTATAGTTGATACAATTCACAATATATTTTCCGAGTAGTATTTAAGAGAGGAAAGTCCTCCATGTTGGAGAGTCCTCAGCAAGAAGCGGTTTGGCTGTGCCCGTACCATTGCCAATATCCATGAGCGTCAAGTGACTACTTATCATTATGTCGATCGTGTGCTCCATCTACCATTGCAAAGGCAATAAAACATATTAATTTTCACGCAACATTGATATTGCGTGCTGTTTCTGCAGCGTTCGTTCCGCGTCGGAACTCATATTCAAAAATCACTGGAATTTTATCCATCTTTCTTGTCTAAGCTGAATAAAGAAAAACAACAATAAAACATAATCAAATGTTTCACATTTTTTAAAAGAAGAACCTCATAAGTACCATTTGAAAAAAGTTTCACTCAAAAATCTCAAGCCATGAAGGTTATATGTCAATTCGAAGTACTTATTACAATAAAACGGCAATTTCATACTTCAACCCCTATTATGTAAGGTCTTAGTTGCTCTCTCTTGGATTTGACATATAAACAAAGTCTTATCGCATCTTATCTTATATTATTTGAGATGTGGTGCTGGCGAAAGATGCTAGGAATTCACTGGACAGCACATCGCACCAACGTGTCGATCCTCCAAGAACTTCAGATAAAGACGACGCTTTCTACCATCTTGATCACGGCAGCTTGGAGAAGCTAATGGTGACTGGCAAGGTGAACGGAAGAAGACCACGACGTAGAGGTCCGACACGTTGGACTGACCAGATCCGCACTACCCTCGACACCACAGTTCACGATGCTCTACACTCGGCGGCAGATAGAGGCAAATGGCGTGGAATGGTCCGTAATAAACTCTTGTTGCGAGAAGGTGGTCACGACCCTCAGTATTGAGGAAACTTAAGCAAGAAGAATCGCATCTGTAAATAATAAATTAAATATAATTGTTTTCATAAAAGCGATTTAAAATTATTACTTTATATAGCCTCACTCGCATCTGGTCATCGACCTTACAATTATAACTTACTGTCCACAGCAAAACGCTGAAATCTAGTTCAAGGAGACAACTATCACTTTTGCTCCCTACTGGTTCTAGAACGGCCGAGAAATAACTTTTAGTACTTTAATAATACCTAAATTCTTAACTTATTCGAAGTTGCGTTTGAGTTCAAACTAACACGCCCAGATTATATGCGTTGCTTGGAGAATTTTGTTGTAATATTATTGATAAAAATAATTAAAGTCGTTAGATTCAGGTTTAAATAGATCTAGATGATGTTTTTGTTCAAAATTCCGTGACAATATTCGTATTGAACTACTGATTATAATATCAGGATAGGGAGCAGTGCGACGATAGCATTGCTGATGTCCATGGGCGGCAGTGACCGCTTTCAATCGAGAGGACAGTTTGTTCGTCTGCGTGTTAAAGCAATAAAAATATTTGTTCAGCTAATTACGAGACGCAGAAGGTATTGGTTAAATCGTTGTTACAATTGTCACAATATTGAGATTTGCTTCTTTGAAATGGTAATAGTATCGTATTGACATCCCGAGCAGTTTATTAATAAATCGTGTATGAAAAACTAAATCCGCGATAAATTATAATCTATATATTAATACGTGAAGTAAAAACTTTGTATCCTTTTTTACCAAAATTGCACGGACGGAGGGGTATGAAATTTTCCACACTTGTAGAGAATATAGAGAAGAAGTGCACAATGCTAATATTTTTTAAAAATAATGCATAAAAGTTATATGCATAAAAGATACACTAAATCAAAAAAGAAAACATTACACACACTACCATGTATTTGACGCACACACGCATGCATACTATTTATTTATTGTCAAACTTTTGTTCTTGACGTCTGTGGTCAAATTGAGAATAGATTAAATATTGTTTGTCTTTATTAATATTTTTCTATAGTGTAGTCATGACGAAATTTGTGATTTATGAAATAGTCTTTGAAAATAGAATCATAATAGTGTACAAGCTTACAATTTTAATTAAATATAATCGAATTTCGACTACTGCGGGATCACTGGTTCTTGTAATTACTTCTTACTTTCCTTACAATTGCGTATTGTTTTTTTAAAGTAAATGGCACCTATTAAGGTGAATGTCAATTTAT